GAGGGTATCTTTGGAGAAGAAAAGGAATTGCAAAAGGTTACAAAGTCAGTTTTATTTCCTCATACTGTGCTTAGCCAGGCATTATTAGTAAATAAGATCTAGAGCACTTAAAAGAAGGATCCAATCACAGATTCAATTGGTCCATTAGCTACATGTAATATTATTTACCTAAGTGGCCCTTCTGGACCATTTCATAACTCAGGTTTATAACCTTTTCTTAAAAAGATCAGCAGTACTGAGCACGCAGTGTGTGAACACGATGAAAGAGGCCATTTTCACAGTTATGGGCCATGATTTCCAGACCTGGAGTCCAGATTAGAATTGTAAAATGAGGAAAATACTGTGTCTGAAATACAAAAAGGGACAAATAGCCACAGAAAGAAGGAAGGAAGCAGTTAAGCAAGATGGGTTGCAAAGGATCAGTTCTTTTATTGAGCTGATACAACTAGAAAGTGCAGGTGGGTTTTACAGCACATAAACCCTTCTGCAGATCCGACAGAGAAGATGTAGTGACATTTAAAGCCACACAAAGAGTTTTGCCAACATGTGTCAGAGTGAATCTCCAGTGGGAGGGAACAACCAGCCGCTCTGTGCAGCTTGGCAGATGGGGGGGTTTGTTGTCTGCTCTAATGTGTGATGTGAGTTGGCTGCTCGTACAGAGTCCCATCAAGTGGGAAAGGTAACTCTTTTCTATTGATCTTGTGTTCAAGATCCGTGTTTGATTAGTTCCTCAGGTTGTCAGATGCTCACACCAGCTCAGAGCAGGGAGTTCTGATAGCTAAATTCTGTACCAGTACGAGTCTCTGCTGCTCTCATTACAGAGGGAACTCAGCCATCAGGAGCAATGGTACTTTTCCACCTCTGAGTCAGCAGCATGAAAAGTCAGACGATGATAAAAGCAAATAAAATCCAGGAAGGTCCTATTTTATAATGAGCCTAGAGATACATGGATATAAACTGGCACTGGCTCATTCCTTTACAGTTATCCCTTTTAATACAGGTCCTTCTGATTCCCATGAGACAGTGGCACGTGGGAGCATGTTGTGCATGTAAGGTGGAGTGGCTCAGCTGCTAACAGATCCTAAAAAAATTTGTAGTGACAACTCATGGAATTTTTAGTGGCAAAAGGCAGTGCTGTTGAGTGCCCTTTGCCTGCCTGTCTTCATTAACCATCTCTCTAACTAATGGCTGCTACTCACTGCTTCTCCCCTGCTCTTCTTTGTCCTTGCCCCCTCCTCACTGCTGCTTGCCCATTGCTCAGGCTGCCCCCCCGGCCTTTGCCTGTGTCGCCACATAACTCTCCAGACTCTGCAATTTTCATCATGTTCTCTCTCTAACAAGAGAATGAGAAAAGAAAGCTCATTTTTTCCCTTTCCCCCTTGGTGTTGAAGCGGTCACTGGTTCAGCTGGGCATGATACATGAGTGTGATGAGCTGATCATTTGGTACTGAGTTGTGCTAGAGAGTGGGAGACTCGCAGGGGTGTTGAGCACAGTGCAGTGTCTTGGAGAGTGCTGATGGCAGATGTCATACAGATGGTGGCAGGTATAAAGCCACTTCTTTATTTTCAGCCAAAGCCATTGTTTCCAACCCTTGACTTAAGTAATACCATTCCCTTGTGGTTGTAACATCTCCATCCCACAAGTCCAGTCCAAAAGCAGGCAGCAGGAGATTCCAACAAACCTGCCTGTGGCAGCTGTGACTCTTCAGAGTGAAAGCCCTGTTGGTGTAGGGGATAGATAGGTCTGAAGCGAGTGGTGAAAGATGCAGAGAAATTTTTGCAGTGATAGAAAAACCATTTGAAGTTATTAGACAAAGTAATGTGGCCAGAAACCTTCCTTTTCCAAGCCAGACAAGCTGTTTCTGCCAGGTATGGCTGCTTTTTAGGGGCTAAAACTCTGATTTCTGTGTCAGGCAACACAGAAGTGGTGTCAGGCTGAAATGGCTCGGAGATTTAGATTTATAGTTCAGGGAGAAGGACATCCCAGCTGGAGAGTGGTGATAGAGTCCAAATTGAGTGTGAAGTCCTCTTCCTGTATCTTTTGTAGTTTATTATGTTTATTATAGTTCTCTTGTTTCTCTATACCTGTTTGTGCTGCAGGTATCACCATTGCATTAGCCAGTCATTGAATACTGTCTGAGGTGTCTCCAATCAGGCATAGACTGGAAATACTTTCTTTGCCCCAAATATTAACTCAAGTAGCAGAAAATGCCTCTCTGTGAAGATAATGCATATGGAAAACATGCATTTTCAGGCTGTCTGCACAGATTCCAAAATTTTAATGTTTCTATTTTTGCTACCTTTTAACAACATCATTGCTGCTTCTCTCTGGGCAGCACCTATGTATTGCCTACCCCTTCTCTTCCCTGGATTTCATCAATATTTTTGTCATTTTTTAACTGTTAAGCCAGACACATGACCAGTGGTCTGGGGTCTACCAGCATTGTCTGCTTCACCAAGAGATGCTGCCTCTGGGAGACTGGTGGTATTGAGAAGCAACAGCTAGAGCAGGGATCCTTGTGCTTGTTCATTCCATCCACAGGTTTGACTCATGCTCTAATAGACAATCCCGAAGGTGAACGACATCAGGTTTGGAAGATTCATCTGTAATTGTGCTGGATCTCTGGCTGAGGGGCAGCTCAACAGCAAAAGGTTTTGCTGAAATCTTCCGTGTAATCCAGGCAGGGTGTTTTGGGGTTTTTTTTGATACTGCATGCTCTCATTTACAAACCCAGTTAGCAGCACGTGTTTGTTAGGCTATGCAGTGTTGGCATGTGAAGAATTCAGGAAAATCATTCAGGAAAATCAATCATCAGTCTTTCCTGTTTAGTTTCATTGCAGCTTCTTATGTGCTTGAAGTATTTACAAAATGCTTTCTTGGACTGGGGTTGTACTGGGAGATGAGATTCCACTGAGGAGTTAAGATATCTGAAGCTTTCTTTTCTTTCTGCAAAACTGTTGGAAAGGAAAGGGATTCAGTTCTGGCATGATGTTTCATAAGGTGACATTTGTTATAACTCATTGCAAATGTTACTCACCATCTACAAAGTGTTCAATTAAACTGAAGAGCAGTGAAAAATTCCACTTTAGTAGCTGCACTTATTACCAGAATCCCTCAGGTTTTTTGGAGCCAACATATTCCCCCTGGAGACTTCTACGCAGTGACTACTGTCCCCTGTGACCAGTCCTGCTGATTGGTGTTCCCTGCTCCCATCAGCCAGATTGTCACACTTGGACAAAATTTCCCTTCCCCTTTGGGTTTATCCTTACTTTCCCAAAGATCTCTTTGGTCATTAGTTGTTAGCAGACCTGTGCTTCATCCTTTTGTGTCCTGTTAATATCTCAGTGGGAATTAGCTGGACCCCTCATAAATAACATTTTCAAAAACAAAATTTGAAAGTGACCTGTGATCCTCCATCCTTTTGAAAATCAGAGTCGTTGGTTATTGAAACTTGAAGCTTCTGAGTCACTGTGATTGTTCCTTAGTTCTAAAAGCTTTAGTGGCATAATGTTTCCATAGAAAATAAGCCAATATATTTATAGTTTCTATTCAGATTATAGTCCTTCTGCCTCAAATGCCTTTGTGTGTGTCTTGAGATTGAAACGTCGGATTCTATGATTCTGTATGTGCAGAGACATGTGTGAGCAATATGGGAGTAACTCTGGGTATGTAACAAACAAACTTTTCTTGCACTTGTAGGAAACTGGGATACTGAGTGAGCACATTTTCTGAGATGCCAAACTGGCTGTTACAGATCTCTGGCTCCCCAGGAAGTTCGCAGATGCAGCTTTGCTGTGTGCTACAGCCACCCACTGTTTTGCAGTGTCAGCTGGGCTGGAGCTCAGATCCACCCACTCCCACCGTACCAGGCCCATTACTCTGGAGCTGAAGGCAAAATGCAAATGTATGTGCTCTGTGGAACACGGCTTCCCTACGGCAGGAGGCGATGGAAACGAGAACCCATGGCCTTGCGCTCCCAATTCCCCATCAGAACCACAGGAACCTCCCTTTTTCCCTGGATAGGGCACTAAAATGGAACAAAACTCTGGCTAATTTGCTGCAGGAAGCCATTGAGCTTTGTGCAAGGAGATAGAACAAGCAGTCCAATTAGTTATAGCTGCTGGTGTCCCCTGGTCCTGACTTGGTGTCGTTTATCAATGCCCAACAGAGGTAGATAAGCCCAGCTCCTTTTTTCCTTACCTGTGAATACCTGTCGAGCCCATGTTTCCTATTACTCCAGTTACCTGTTAGGCTCTTAAGGAACCATAATTCATTCAGTTTGCTGTGCTTGTTCCAGGGCACAATTTACTTCTTGTTTTCCTAGACCTAAAAACAACATCACAGCCTTTGGAGAGCAAGGGTGGGGGCTTTCTACATCAGCCTGTCTTTAGGTCCTATTTATAAATGAGGAGAGTGAGAAAATATGTTTAAAAACATTCAAGCTTTAAAAATAAAACTGCGACCTAGTCAAAGAGTAAACATTAAGGAAAAATAAAGACCTATTTTAAGAGATGGAAGCAGAGAAGAAGCAGCAAAAATATTCAAAATGAATCTATTACTGTAAATAGGAGGGCGTAAACCAGCAGCTTCTATCACTGACAGTTCAGAGATGCTGAGGACCTGCACCATCAGTGAAAAAGGAGGAATTGAAAAAAATATTGAGTGGAAAATAAAGCAAAGATGAGAAATCCACCTATTTGTACGTGTGATAGGTTATCCATAAACAAGATCGTGCTTCCGACCAGATAAAAGAAATCAATGGCACAGTGCTTAAGTGAGATTAAAAAATACACTGAGCGTCTGTCACTCTACATTCCTCTCCTGAGCAGTGGTGTCAGAAAGCCCTTTAATGTGGGGTTGCTCAGGGAGTGTTATGGTCACCATGTTGAGAATAAAACGTCTTAAAAAGGGATCGGAAGCTTTTACCGTGATGGACCTTTGGAAGTTTGTCCCCTCTGTGTCTGTTTTGTCACTTATATGCGGTTCTTCTCCAGCACAGGTTGCCCAGTCACTATGAACAATGGCCCAGCTATACTACAAAAAGGTAAATTACTCACCATACAGAGACCGGATCCCGCTACAGATCGTGCGGGCAGAGGCAGAGCTGTCGGCGGAGGAGAAAGCCTACCTCAGTGCTGTGGAGAAGGGGGACTATGCCAGCGTGAAACATGCCCTGCAAGAGGCAGAGATCTACTACAACATCAACATCAACTGTATGGATCCTCTCGGTCGCAGTGCCCTTTTAATAGCCATAGAGAATGAAAACCTGGAGATCATGGAGCTGCTGCTGAGCCACAGCGTGTACGTGGGCGACGCGCTGCTCTACGCGATACGCAAAGAGGTGGTGGGAGCTGTGGAGCTGCTGCTGAACTACAGGAAGCCGAGCGGTGAAAAACAGGTTAGTTTAGTGTTCCTGTTCGGTTTTAAGCTATTATCCCGTGTTAGGAGAGTGGTAGTGCACAGAGAGGTGCAGTGCAGCACTCGTAAAGCACAGTCCTTGGTGCGGGTCCGCTGCTTTAAATGCCCAGAGCAGACGTGGGCAGTCCAGTTTGGATGTTTATTTTCCAGTCTGAACAAACATCTTCTGTGTGACTTAAACACTCAGCATTTTCTGTTTCACTCAGTGTTCTTTCCAGCCCTACAGTGTTTGTGGACATACTGATTTACAGGTTGATTTATAGATGAGTACTTTCTAAAGGAATTTGTGGCTTTCTGAAATTACATTACAGTCCGTAAATGTGAACTATTGCCATGCTGTTTACTGATATTAAGTGGAATTGCTTTTCATAAGTAAATTCTGAAAGCACACATGCTTATAAATAACTAAAAGCAAGCAAAAGTCTGCTAGGTTTCAGTCCTTTGCTGTAGTGCAGACATACCATCTTGGTCTCCCTCTCCAGGGAGCTCTAGGGAAGAAATTCTGAGGCAGAACATAACGTTACAGCAAGAGCTAAGCTGATGTATAGCTGAGCAATGAACAACTGACTTGTAGGAAGGATCCTTAGCTACAAAGCCATTCCTAAGTTACATAAGGATCTTTGTGAAAATCCTGTCACTTCAAGTGTGACATATCACACTACCCCAACTGTGTTTTCTGGTTTTCTTCTTGTTGTTTGTAAATATTCCTGCCCATAACTGGAATAAGTTAAGTACGTTACTGACCACTGACAATTTTTTGCATATTCACTGCTTTAGAAAGGAACATCCAAAACTTGGGTAATCCTTATATATCGAGTCTCCTTTTGTAGGCAACACATCCCCCTGTGTGCGAAGGAAGAAAATTATTAATACCAGTCAATCATAGAAGAAAACATTTTCAATGGACAGGCCCCTTAGTACATAGTTTTTCAATAGTCATTTTGTGTAGCCAAAGCAAACAATAAGGATCAATCCTGACAGCATTCAAGAGTGCTCAGCTTAACATTTAGAAAAGCAGCATTCTGCGTGCTGTAGCAATGTGATTCTAATGTGTGATTTAAAAACTAATCTCTTCTATCAGACCTAGAAATTGAAATGATACTACTGGGTTTTACTCCGACAAAATATAAGTAGCAAAATATGGACCACACATGGAGAATGAGCCATTTTTAACTTAGTCTTCTAGCAATTCGAGCATCCTACACCTCAACAGAAAGCAGAAGTTTTTTTCAGTGGCAATGAGGAACTGCCAGTAATTATTGCAGGTTAACGACAAGTTTCTCCTGAAATATCATGGAAAGCAAGCGATAGGATTCCTGTGGATTTCTGTGACATCTCTTGCATAGCAAAACTTGTGTTCACTCAAATTCATAGCCTTGCTGGGTTAAGTGGGAAGAGATAAAGGTCCATGAAATAAGGTTGATTTATTGCAGCTGAAATTCAGCTCCAGTATCTCTAGTTCAGTGATCCATTTCATGGTAGGTCTGTTTAATTTTTTGTTATCTCTGTGCCAGCGTGCAGCTCTCCTTCTGTAGCTAGGATTGTATCTGCTGCAGGGTTTACAACTTGGAGGAGAACACGTGTGGGGGAGAAAGAGATGCGGTGCCAGTTTCAGCTTTATTTACAAGGTTCGTTACAAGACCAGATTTCATCAGTATATTTTAAACTAGTACTGGCTTGATGCAAGATTCTATGTACAAACTAGGATTAACTTCCCTGGCTGGGTTTCAGGCTCTTCTGTAGACTGCAGGAAGTGTTTGGTGGTAGGGGGCTGCAGGACTGGACTTCCGTTTCAGCAGTTTCACTGATCGTTCATGAAGTGATGGTAATTAACATTTATTTCATGTATAGTGATATAACATTAGATGGAGAGAAGTGCTTAGTTAAGCGAAGTTGGGGAAAAGTTGGTTAGCTTGTCAAATCACAAAGCTAGTATAGGGACACAAGTTCCTGATGCTAATTCCACAGCAGTATCAATATGCATTCATTAATTATCTTTGCTGGACCCTTTCTCATAAAGTCCTTTAGGAATCCCATGCCTAACTACTTTCACAAAAATCACCTGATAAATCAGAGTAGCACAGCTTTGTTCTCATCAGCTACTTACATGTTCTAAAACATATAGAAAACATGGGGATTTTGTTGAGTAGTAACAAAAATTCACACTTCGTGGAAGGGTTTCTGTCTGGCTGAGAAATTTGTAAGATGGTGTCACAGCACTTCTTATATATCAGGTTTAGTATAATCTATTCATTAAATGTACACAGGGTTCAGTTTCACCAAACAAACCTGAGTGACCACATGTGACAGCTTGTTTCCCATCGGGGCCTGGTTGTCTTTGCTGTACTCCAGGCAAAGGTGCAGAAGCAGCATCTTCTAATTACTCTGTCTTAAATGTTCATTCATCTGAGGCTGGTGTCTGCAAAACCCTGTTCATTCCATTCTCCCGCTGTCTGCTTCTGAGCTGTTATTATTTGCCTCTCCCCCAAAGTCTGGTTTCTCTGACTGCCAGGCACGAAGAGCTATTTGAGTCTGTCCACATCAGCTCAGGTGATTGTTGTCTTTGCATCTCGAAAGCAGCTGAGTAGCATCATTCAGCATAATCCATTGCATGGGTGTGTGTCTTCTCTCACTCCCACAGCCTTATCCTCGTACCACAGTCCTGATGGGAAAGTGTTACAGGTTGTGTTATTCCAGCCTCTTGTGGGGTCACCGTGACTGTATCTAGTTTGCGAAAGATATGCCCCAAATGAGGTCAAAAACCATGGCCCTTTGACCTGCAAAGCTGCAGGTTCTCTCACCAGCCACAGTCTCTGCAAGCTGAAATGTCCTGGATGCTCCATACCTGTCTCTTGAGAGCTGCCTGAGGGGAAGAGTTCTGCTTTTCCCCATGTGATGACCTTTTCAGGGAGCAGAAGTAAAAAACCTTTCAAATATAAGAAGTGACCTTTGTTGTGCTCCTTATGTAAGAGAATCAGGGTCTCATTGATGATGTGAGGGACAGGGAGAAGGGATGAAGAGGCTGGATGGCAGAGGTGCCTGGATCCTGTTATTCAGAGAATTTTTCTGAATCATTATTCCGCAAACCTTTGCTAGACTGCTGTTTAAGCACCATTTACTGAAAATGCCATGAGAATGGCAGGGGTAAGTCATAGCCAGTAACTATAACAACACAGCTCCCTCACTGCAGTGTGAGGGGTGTCTCAGGAGAGGAGGAGATTACTCTGTTTACATGTGGAGCGTGTGAGAGCCGGGAGCATGAACCTCCTCCCTCCAAAGGCTGCTGCAGAGCACATGATAGATTAGTGTGCTCAGCAGTGATGTGGTAGAGTAGATGTATTTCCTTTCAGCTTTATCTGCAAGCAAGACTCATAGGCTATTTTAAGAACTTAAAATTTCTTCTCAAATCCATTCTCTCCACTCTGGACAACTTATGGCCACGGTTTTGTGTACTGCACTGAGTCTGCTGATAAAGATGAGGAGAAGACTTTACCAGTTACAGCCAGAATAATGGCTAATACATTTACTGCTGAAAGACACTGTTGGCTATGGGTGATTTTGGGGTCAATGAGAGAGTTGTCATGGTGCAAACACCTTAGTTTTGCTACCATGGGAAGCAAATGTGCTGATGTGCTTCACTCCCAGCAAAGAGTAAAGCCCAGGCTTTAAATGACCCATCCTTTTCTTCAGATTGGAACTATTGGAACTCTTCAAACATACTACACTCTGGGGTGGACTCTCACGTTTTTCTTTGTGTCCCTGTGCAAGTGTGGTCCTGAGTGGGTGGAAGGTGCCTGTGAGCAGAAGCTGAGGTGCTGAGGCTGCCACAGCCCTGCCCATCCACCACAGCACAGATGGGAGCTTCTGTGGCCTTGGCAGGATGTGGTCTGGATGTGGCATAATGCTAAGACAAGTTCTCAGGGAAATAAAGGAAATTCAATTATCTCCTCAAAATAGATTAAGTAACAAAAGAGCTTTTCTAGTTCTGTGATTTTTACAAGTTCACTTGTTATTTCCAAATGTTACATAATTTACTCCAATTGATCCTCCAAGCTTTTTTTTTAAACCATAGTTCACTTTGACCAGTCACTTTGTGTTGCTAATTGGTCACCTAAGTCATAGAGTAGTTTGTTTTTCCCCAAACAGAGGATAGACATTGGGAAATCAAGCAACATATTCATCAATATTAAGAGGAACAACAGAATAAACTAGTTTTCACGGAACCTAGAGGGTATGCAAGTGTTGCTCTTCCTGCAGGGATCTGTAGTATTTCCTAGGAAATAAAAGTGAGCCTAATCTGGTGCAATAGTTATTGTTTGATTTTCTGGACAGTAAAGAGGCTGGCGTTGTACTGCATAGCAGCAGAGGAGTAATATATGTGTACTTGGCATGGCAATCCACACTCAGTGGTGAGTGGCATGTTATTTTTAAATAAGAAAACAAATCACTGAATAACCACCAGAAAGAGTGGTAGATAGAAATAGCAAAATTCAGCATGTGCAGGTGCAGTACTGACTTTGGCCCAGGCTTAGTGAGTCAGGTGGCTCGTGTGTTTGGGGGTTGGAAGTTAAAATACAAGTAGCCTCTGCATGGGACAGGTCCAATACATACAATGGCAAAATAAGACCTTAATGCTATTCTGTAGGTACACGTGGAAAACAGATATCTGGCTGGGGTCCTATGGGGTTGGAATTAACAGGGAACTTAAAATTACTTCTTTTTTTTTTTTTTTTTTATTCAGTACTACCATGGGAGCAAGGGAATGTATATGTGAAGCCTGTTGAATGAATTTGCCTTTCCAGTAAAATCTTGTGTCTCTCAAACTATTTGACCTTTGAGTTTTGTTGCATTTTTTTTTCTAAAAGTCCTCTTAGATATTCTTTTTACTACACAAACGTCAATACAGTGTGTTATGTTTTCAGCCAGGCTGGATTCTGCACCTAAGCTGCACTTAAACGGCATCTAATTTCCAGCAAAGAG